CAAATTATCGGGCAAAGCAGCGGAGAAGTTGGAAAAGATCTTTAGGGATTTTTTATGTGAAGGCCCAAACAACAATGGCAAGTCTCATCTCATTAATTGGAAAAAGCACATAGCTTCCAATCAATGAGGGAGGCCTCGAAATTGGAAACATAAAACTGAGAAATTGTGGTCTCCTATCCAAATGGGTGTGGCGTTACATAATTGAACCTAACCATCTTTAGAGAAGACTCATTTTAGCAAAATACTATGGATCCCGCTCCAATTTTTGGCCTACCAGCTACCATCCTAAACACAAAGGACCATGGACTGCAATCACCCTCAAACAAACCTTATAAAGGACAAAGCCATTTGCAGGGTGGGGGATAGGAGCAGAATCAGTTTTTGGAAAGACTTTCAAACTCCTCAGCTCTCAAATCGATCATCAACCTCCACCCTTTACCCTAGCATCTGGCATGGGAAATGTCCCAAGAAAATCAAGTTCTTTTGCTGGGAGCTTAGTCACGGAGCCTTAAACACATGTGACAGGATGCAGAGAAAGCTCCCATACATGTCCTTCTCCCCACACTGCTGCCATCTATGTTTGGAAGCATCAGAAACTCAAAGTCATCTCTTTATTCATTATCACTTTGCCACATGCTTTTGGAACAGTATGCTCTCGGAATTTGGATGGAAAGCGGCTCTCCACTCACAACCAGCTACCTTGCTTGATTGCATCTTGGTGGGTCGTCCTTTCAGCAAAGGCAAAGCTATTCTTTGGGTTCAAATCGTCCGAGCTTTCTTATGGTCTTTGTGGTCAGAAAGGAACCATCGGGTTTTCAATGATAAAGCCCTCTCTTTTGGAAACTTTTTTGATAGAGTTATTGTTCTAGCTTTGGGTTGGTGGAAATGTTTCTACCCCCTTCAACAATTACTCTCTAAATGATTTTATTACAATTTGGAGAGCTTTCTTGTAATTACCTATGAGGCCTTTTGTATATTTCATACCATCAATGAAATATTTGTTTCATATTAAAAAAAAGGTTATTTAATGCACAAAATGAGACATACAAAATACTGAATAAAGTTAGGATCTGTTCAGGATCGGGTCATATAAGGGGGACAGATAAAAAGGATAGGAACATGCTCATGCATGAATATGAAGAAACACGACCATTCATTATATCATTCTAAATTTTAAACTTTATATGATTGCATACATAATTATGGAAAGTATTTGTTGTATCTCGTGAATTACTATTTCAAAAATTTAAAACGTTTTATTCTTTTTCACATAAAACTATGCAGGAAAATGTATACCTATTACTAGGGGTGCGGGAATTCATCAAGAACATATGGTTGAAGCACTTGAGCACTTAAGGAATGGAGAATGGGTACTTCTCTATTATTCTGTCATAATAAACATTTAACTATAATAAGCCCTGCAAATTAGGTCAATATATGTGCCTTATTTTAAAATCATATTCAGCTTTTTTTTATTTTATTATTATTATTATTTTTTTTAAAAAAAGGAAACACTTCACATTGAAAATTAAAGAGTAAAAAAGGGAAGTTAAAAATTAAAGAGTAAAAAAAGGGAAGTTAAGGCATACTCGAATTGGCAGTGAGTAATTACGAAAATGTTTACAAAAAGAGTTTCACTTTAAAGCTTGACCATTCACCCTTTCCCAAGAGAGTAAGCATCAACAAAAATTTTCATTGGATTGCAACCACGTATCAGTGAGATTTTTTTTTTCCTTTTTTGGTTATAATAACATGTTTTCTAGATTAGGTTCTATACGAGACTTTTTTTTTTTTCAAATACATCAATGGTCTAATCATGGTCTTTTATGTTATGCTCATGGACATATCTGGCAGCTCCATACTTTTCCTGAAGGTAAGGTGATCCAAGAAGATGTGCCTATTCGGCGACTAAAGTGGGGAACAGCTAGTCTTATTGTTCGTTCTCCTATAACACCGATAGTTCTGCCCATTGTCCATCGTGGCTTTGAGGAGGTACTTTTCTTTATTAAACGACCATATCATTTTGCACAAACGATTCTACTAATCTTGCAAATATGGTGTTAAGATGAAACCATGAAACCATCGTGATAAACTATGAGGCTGGTCATAGATACAAGCGGTCTAAATAGCAGATCATATAATGGCTATTTATAAACCTTGGGCCCGGATCTACTGAGTATATGCTACATTTTTTTAATAGAAATCCAATATCTTCCTTTCATTTCGGCTCACTTTACTATTACCTATGTGGGTTTCCAGATAATGCCTGAAAAATATCTCTTTGGTAGGAGGCCTCCTGTTCCCTTGTGCGGTAAGAAGATTGAGATTATTGTGGGTGAGCCTATTCAATTCGACCTTCCTAGCATGAAGCAGATGGCGATTGCCATGTCTCGTGATTGGTCACCTCCTCTACTAGGATGGCCTACCATTGAAGAACCAACGCGACTGGATGAGGCTGCACAGAGGTTCTTGTATGGTCATATCTCAGATCAAATCCGAGGTGTTATGGAGAGATTACGTGGTAAACGATTATAGAAGCTGAAGGTTTAAATTTGCCTTCTAAAAATAGCACTATGGCCCACACGTGAGATGATTTAGGTGGGACGTTTTCAATAAATTCATTGCATTGTTTGGATTAGATACCCTAATTTATATCAAATGAAATTTGTTATTTGATTGCAAAACATTATTTGCATTCAAAATTTCTAACCCATGAATCTGTCCAGGCTTCTTACATTTTCTCGTGGATAACATTATTTTCAAGATTTGTTTGGCCTACACAATACACATTTTGGCAATCTCAATGCTTGTGCAGATCTTTGGTTTGCAGCTTGGACGACAGGCTCACTCTCATGTTCTAAAGCATGGATTTCGATTTCAATTGGGAGAACAGTCGGATATTTATGTTGGGAATTCTCTAACAACGTACGAAACGAGCTGGATATGCTGGCAGCAATGAAATTAATGAAGAACAGCAGAAAGATCATGACATACCCTCATGTTACCAAATTGAAATGCCATATACGGGTAACTAGATTCTTCATTCGGATGTGTCTCAATCAATCATGTGAAGGGCTTAGATCTTTTCATCTTGTTTGGTTTGATTTTTCCTAATGTTGAGGGTGTTGTTTCCCTTGATTTTAAAGGGTACATTGAGGTGATAGAACCATACTGATTTTGCCTGTGTTTTTTGGAGAGATAAGAAGAAACAATTGGAAAGACTTTAAATATAGAGTATAGGGTCGGTAACCAACCTGAATACAATTTAACTAGTTAAGACATTTTTCTTTATGAATATTTGAATTCTCCTCCCACATGTTGAAAAGTACAGGGAGGGTGGGTTGTGTAGGACTTGTGGGAGAGTCATTTTGTTGCTTCATTATGAACTTCCAAATGAAGAAATTTGTAGCATACAGTTTGTTACTTCTTCTTTTTGTAAATTGTATTATTCTCATATTGTTTATGTTACTAGATTTTGAGAGGGTTAGAAAATTATATTATTTCTCTTGTGATGAAATAAAATATGTGCGTAATCACATTGTTTATATGTTTGCTAATTAGGCATCTACTTGCTATAATTGCTTCTGTTGCATGTTTAAATTGTTTAATTAGTTATGATTTTGTACCCTCTTGCAAACGAAAGTCATAATTAATTTCATCAATATTTCTATGTATCAGTGAGTTGGGTTTGACATCAATACGATGGTAAATCGACATTTTCATAGTATTGCAAAAAAAAAAAGAAAAAAAATAAAAAAAAATGAAAAATATCAACAAAATATCATTAGTATAGACATAATATTAATATTAACCATTTCTAACTATAACGTGAAATGTTTATTTGTTAATTTAAATACATTCTTAGAATTTTTTTTAATAACTTTTCAGGAATATCTATTTCATCGGCATTTTTATAAAATCGAGATTGTGGCATTTTCGACATTTAAAACATTGCTGTAGACTGATTTTGAGTTTTTGGAGAAACAGATTAAGAAAATAGAGAAACCATTTTGTAAATATTGTTTCTATAAGAATTTGAGAAACGGGCTTTGAATCCTTCGAAACAGACAATAATTTCTTTCAAAAAATAAGAGTTGGTTATATGTAGGTAATTAGTTTCTTTAATTTGTTCAACAAAATCTCATTTCATCTAAAAATTGTCTCACTTTAAAAAGTAAGGTATTTATTTATTTATTTAATAATTTTTATGAATTTATTGATTTTTGTAATTGTTCATAAATATCTATCAACATAAAAATTTTATATAAAATTAGACTTCGCATCTAAATTTAAAAGCTTCTATATATTTGCCATTTATTRGGGGAAAAAACTTTAAGCATCCCCAAGTTTTTATTTATTTATTTTTTAATTTTATTAAAAGCAATGTATGGTTGAGTTAATGAGATCTTAGACTAAAAAATACTGGTAACTTAAATCTACTCCTTTTTTTTTCCTTTCATTTTTTATTTTTAAATATCTATGAATATTCAAACTAGTTTAATGCATTTCAACAAATTTGACAAGACAAGCACCTGACTTTCTACCTTTGATTAGCGGGAAAAAAAAAAGTCATAAAAATTTTCCTAGGTAGGTAGTCACCTGTTTTGAACTTTGAATTCATTTCCTTCTAAATCTCATGAGTATCAAGTCTCGTTTACTTCAAGGGAATACAAATTGAAGAAATAGGAATGAAAATTTTCATTGTGTTTGATGGTGCTTACTAAAATGTATGAATGAAACATCTCAAATTTGGGAATCAGAAAGAAAAAAAAAAATCTCATTCCTTATTTTATAGGACCCACCTTTTGAATACTTTACAACTTATATTCTTTCTATCTCATCTTTAAGACTCATAATTTTTTTTATAATAATTTTACACTTTATTTGTTTATTTATACTACCAATATTTTTTCTTGGAATAAAAAATTATACAACATCTATTCAATTTTACTTTGTTATTATTAATTAGTATCAATAAAATCGTTTAAATAAAATTCGTTATTATTAAACATTATAAAAATAAAAATTGAATAATGTTTTGTATTAACCTTTTTAGTTGATATAAAATAATTTTAATTATCTTTTTATTATAAAAGAGAAAGCAAAAAACTAAGAAATGAGAACATCCCAAACGAGCCTCTACTAATTGTTATATATCTAGCTTCCTATTCCGATTGCAGATAAAACATCAAACAAATAACATTCTCATTTTGATAGACTCTATTCTACTCTATTCGGTTGATTTTTATACTGATTTCTAACAAATAAACGAAGTCTTAATGGCAAAGAATAATAGTTGGACTAAAAAAAGAATAAAAGAAAAGAAAAAATTAGTAAAGAATAATAGAAAAATGGAAAGCTACCGACATCCACGTTGAAGATGAAGAAAAGTAAATTTATTTGCTTTAACTTCATTTATTATGACGATAGCGATGCCATACAAATCACCTTTTCCAACACACCAAAACGCGTTGACCCTCCTTTACTAAAGCAAACCAACTCACATATAACCTCTGCAAATCAAACTTTACCTTCAATATATTATATTTAATCTAAACAAATTTTAATTTTGTTTGGCCACGGAATATCGTTCACAAACGATCACGGGAGTCTTCCTCGAAGAATAGAGGAATCTTGTAAGATAAAGGGTAAGCATGGAGCGTTCAAGTCACTGCAGGTCGGAATAGGTGTAAAGATATTTTCTGTCACGATTCACTTACCTCAGCTCTTTGGGTATTTATTGTTTGCTTTATTGGCAATTCGAGAGAGAGTTGGCACCGTGATGCACGCCGTGGATCAAGGGACATAAGGAAATTACGGACGGATTTAAACTTCCTTCACCAGATCATGGCGTCATAGGAAGTCGATCAAAGACCAGGGATACTTTCCTCCTTGTACGTGTTGACCTCTTTGTTAGGGASATCAATCAGATCGGCTTACTCTCGTTGCGACGACATGTGGTAGCCGATCTTACCCACAACAATGTAATAATCTAATAGCAAGGATCTAAAAACACTTTATCATTTGTTTAAAACTACTTTTGTCGCAAGGCTAATATTTTAAGTGGAAAGTTGATGTAACAATTAATATGGAAGCTTCCTAGATTGTCTGTCCAATTTTGTCCTAAAAGTTTTCTGGCTCAATTATCAACGGAGTTTGCTTCTCCATTATCTACTTAATTTTTCACGTTAATTGTTAACTTTTTGTTTTAAAATATTAATAGATCTTTGCTCAAATGATATTTTTGAAACCTTTACAGAAGGTCAATGGTAGCATTGAAACTTTTTGAAATAATAGAAGTACTAAAAAAACAAATGACATATTCAGGCAATTTTGTTTTTCTTAAAAATTATATTTACTGCCTCAAAATTTCTTTCATGGGCTCCCTTAAAAAAAACATATCAAAGAACACAGACAACTTTTTAAAATTGAACTTAAATGGTGAAAACTTTTTTAAAAATAGATAACAAAGACAAATAAACCCCAATTCTCTTATCCTCATCTTTTGTTTTATTTTTTCTCATTAATTGTGGGTAATGTTTTGATTCATTTTTGTGGTTAGGAGTTTGATTTTGTCAAAACAAATGGAATGAAATTCAAAACATATTAATTGAGGCATTAAATATTATTTGTTGATTGTTAGAAAAGATGGTGTGGGAAATGTTTTTGGTTCCAAAATAACAATGACTAGACATTGAGTTATGATATTGACATTCAAACAAAACCTTTGTTCTCTTCTCTTCTACCATCTAAAACTATTCATATGGTTTCAATAAAAAGTAAAATTAGGACCAAATCAAATCTGACATTATTTTTCAAAATTAATTTTTTTTCAACATTTTGTCAAAGCCTACGAAATTAGGTTCTTTACTTCGTTACAAAATATTGTCTCACCCTCATTCGTGCTTTCTCTTGCTTACAGTCTGAGTTCCATGTGATTACGAGTGGAAGAACTTTGAGTTCTATGAGTTTTATTTTTATTTTTTATATCCGTGAGTGTCTAAGTCAGTTTATGCATGCAGCTCGACTAATTCTCACGATGCAACTGCCTGACCCTATAACATTTGGTGCTAGGAAACATATAGAAATTACTAATTCCGTGGCCATCATGAGAAGAGATTTGAGTTCTACGATTTTCACTGTTTTCTCTATCTTTAAATAATCGAACGAGTGGTGGAGAGTGTCAATATATCTTCGTATATTCGAGTTTCTTTCGTTACTTATCCTCTTGCCACCAAAGTCATGGTTAGGAGTAAACTCGCGCTTCTCTTTCTTTCATCTTACTATACATTTTTTCGACAAATCTTAGTTGATTTCAACTTGTGTTCCTTTTGTAATAACTATATTCTCAATACAACAAGCAAGATCAAGTATATTATTTCGCGTGCTTGTTAACGCTAGCAAAAAGGTAGAAAAAACCAGTCAGAAATTTTATTTGAGCCCAAATTTTTAGATTACCCCGTCAAAACAAACTCATAAAAACTCAAATTTCAAGTCGAATGGAGTCAATATCTTTACTTACGCAGTCGATATCGACATTTTGAACCGAAGCTTTTATGAGTGGCGCCGACGCATGCATTTCAGACAAGCCCTCCCCCAGACAACGTGACCCTCCCATACAAATCAAATCAAACCAAATCAAAAGCCCCATCTCCCCAACCTCCCTCTTAAATTCCCTCACCACTTTTTAAACTTCCATCACTGCACTTTGCAGCTCAATGCTTCATCAACAATGGCGGAATCAACCACAAAACACCTTCAATTTTTCCTCTTCATCCTCTTCCCCATAGCTCTCGCCGCTTCTCCGGCGGATCTCGCCCACACCCAATGCTTGAAGGTCTCCTCGTCGGAGTTCTCCAGCTCCATCGTCTCCGCCATCGATGTCGTCCGGCAGGTCGCCGCCATTTTCTCCCCGTTCGCCAAATTACTCGGCGATTCCCGCCTCGCCACCGCCATCTCCGATTGCCTCGACTTGCTCAACTCCTCCGCCGACCAGCTGGACTGGTCCCTTTCCGCCGCCCGGAACCCCACCGGGAAAAACAACAGCACCGGCGATCTGACCTCCGATCTCCGAACATGGCTGAGCGCGGCGGCCGTCAACCCAGAAACATGTCTGGACGGATTCGACGGCACCAACAGCATCGTCAAAGGATTGGCGTCCGCCGGAATCGCCCAGCTGACATCGGAGATCTCTGAGCTTCTTTCCATGGTGAAATCGGTCTCCGGCCAGGCGGCGGAGTTTCCGTCGTGGGTCAAACCGGAGGATCGGAAGCTGCTGCAGGGAGGTGGGTTGGCCGCCGACGCCACCGTGGCCGCCGACGGGACAGGGGATTTCACGACGGTGATGGATGCGGTGGCGGCGGCGCCCGACAACAGCATGCGGCGGTATGTGATTTACATAAAGAGAGGGGTGTATTTGGAGAACGTGGAGATCAAAAAGAAGAAATGGAATCTGGTGATGATTGGGGACGGAATTGATTCCACCATTATTTCCGGTAATCGGAGCTTTGTCGACGGCTGGACCACATTCCGCTCTGCAACATTCGGTACCCATTTTCTCTGACTTTAATTTCTGTTCGTTTTGAAGAAAATCTCTACAACAATGGCAAATTAAGGTTTCCTAGTAAAATACAAAGTCACTGAATTTAGAAATCTATAAAAATGTCACAGTGGGTGCCTAAAATTTAGTTTGATTCGAGGTTGGATACATGTTCGCCATTTTTGTGGTAGTAATTTGGACCATCTAATCGTATATAAATCGTAGTGATAATGACTCCTTAACCAGTTTTTCCATTGATTCATTCCAAAATTTCTCCGAAAAGTTTTTAAGTAGTTCTTGAAGTTTGAATTTGAATTTTTAATAAGTGTTTGAGTAGTATCATGACATAGGAGCTAACAATTTCTTTCAAAATGGGACGTGACACAATAAATGACAATAATATATGTATTAAGATAATTTATGAAATTAGATGACATCTCTAATTTAGAGGAAATTACAGCTTTGAAATTTGGTTTCAATTTGGTTAGTGAGGTTCTAAAATGACATATTTACCCTTTAAGTTTTAATTTTTAATTGGGTATTTAGATTTAAATTTAAACTTCTGGTGGGTAGGAGCTAACGTATATTTATTATTATTATTTTAGAAGCATCGATTAATATTTTTTTAATGTTTAAAGAAATTTTCTAATACTAGTAGGATACGTACTTCTTTTTTACTATATTTTTTTCTTAAAAGATAATTATTTAATACTAGGTTTAACATTTAAATTGATTAGGTTTTAATTTACAAGGTTTTTCAAAAGCCAACCAGTTTTATTAATGTTCTCATCGAGTCATTTAAGAGATCATTAGTTGTTTAGTCCACGATAAAACTTAACTTCTCACTAGTAAAGAGTAATATTGTCTTTTACCATCATAAAATATTTTATAACGTAAGAGATAAAAATATAAAAACAAAAATTTATTTTAAAATATAATGAATTATCAAATATTAAATAATGGTAAAGACAAAGTTGCTCCTCACAAATTGAGAAGCCAAATTAATTTTATGGTCCAAGGATAGAAATATTTTATCTTTTATCCAATATACATTACCTACCTCATCATCATTCAACTAAATCAAGTATCCGTGAAAAGGGACACAGCGATGGAAAAGAAAATAAGAAAATATTTGACTCAGAAATTTGTGATCATTTGCAGCTGTTAGCGGGAGAGGATTCATAGCGCGCGATATAACATTCGAGAACACCGCCGGACCGGAGAAGCACCAAGCGGTGGCGCTGAGATCCGACTCCGATCTCTCGGTGTTCTTCAGATGCCGCATTAGAGGCTACCAAGACACCCTTTACACCCACACGATGCGCCAATTCTTCCGCGACTGCTACATCAGCGGCACCGTCGACTTCATTTTCGGCGATGCCACCGCCGTCTTCCAGAACTGCACCATCCTC